GGTAATTTACAAGTAAAAGGTTATTTCTTAGTAAAAAAAAATAAGTCTAAAACTAGCAGCAGCTTCCAGTATTCATCAATCTTTTTGCTTTGGAAAAGTATGCACCAACTTCCTGTTTTTATTCTGTAAAACAGTCCAGATTTTTGTTTCTTCTAATTACGTACTTGTAGCACCTTATTCTAAAAATGTATGTAGAAATGTGTAAAAAACAAAACAAAAAAAAGCTAAATCCAGGAGCAAGCGGAGCTCCTGCAGCATGAGTTTTGTGGGTTTGAACGTGACACTTTGTTCTGGAGTGTTCTCTGACTTATCCCTGAGGTTTGTCCACCTTTTAACAGGCTGAGAGCTTTCTGCCTGATGTTAATACATTTTAATTAAAAAGAAAAAGAGCAAAGCGTTAGCATTAAAGATGAAAGAAAGAAGCATGACTTGACACATCAAAGGTGGATGATCTCTCTGAACTGCCGACGCAGAGTCAATCACTAACAGTGTTGTTGTTGTCCAGGGGGGAGTGGACGGAGGCTACACCAAGGAGAAGATCCGCATCGTGGAGGGCGTGTGCCTCCTGTCCAATGATGAGCTTTACTGGGACGACCTGAAACAGATCAAGCCGTCCCGAGGCGGGCTGCACACCTGCATGCGCACAGACACCGTGTCCCTGCAGGCCAGCAGCGCTTCGCTAGACGACGGCGAGACGGAGCAGCTCCTCCAGGAGGAGGCGTCTGAATGCTCGTCCATAACCACCCTGACCCCTTCTGCCATCACCCCGCAGCGTCACGCCCAGCACAGCCTGCCCGACACCGGCTGGGTCTCCGTACGCAAGCCCTCCACCGAGAGCGAAGTGTGAAGGAGGCCCTCTGTGCTTTATCTTGACCATCATTACCTAATATACACATGCAGTCACCTGTATTTAGAGCTGGTACAAACACACAAAGATGAATAGGTACAGAACACAGTAACAGCTGCATATGTAAACTAATGGTACATATCAACCTGGTTAGACACAACTAAGCTACAAAACACACGTCCTGTCTTTAAAATTGGGGCTCCGTCCTACTTGTCCACACGTGCAGTGCAGTATCCTCAGTGCTGCTGCCTCGAGGCAAAAATGGAGCGTGCTGGAATAAGAAAAACAAAGGACTCTGGGGAGGAAGTGAACAGAGAGACACAAGCGTTAACGTGGAACCTTTTTTTTCTTTTTTCTTTTAAGGATACAGACTCTCAGTGCGACGCTTCTCTGTATACCACTTCACCTTTCTTTTTCTTTGTTTTTCATCCTGGACGGAGCTAAAGCAACATACCCCCCGGACGACGTAACCACAGAGTTTCCTCTAATGCCACTCATGTCTTTATGAACTATATTTATGAACATGTTTGTGGGTTTTTTTGTTGTTTTTTTTAATTTGTAGAGTGGGTTTGCTGACTTTCAGAGAATGATGAGTGCGCTAAGCTAGAAGTTTTATTTTTGTGCAGCAGCACCTGTTTTTTTTCTTTTTTAATTAATTTTATTTTTCAAGAGTTGTATTTATGACAGTGCCAAAGGGTGGGGCTTCAGAGTCTCCATGCTTCTTTCTCCATTTCACACTTCAACAGAGATTTATTCTCATTCTGGGATGTTTGTTTCCTCTGACTTGCCCCCCCTCAACCTCACCGGTGTGGGAGACCTCAGTGTTGGCATCTGCTTCTTTACAGCCTCCAAGGGATTAAACTAGAAATGACTGTAGCAGGTTCTCTCAGTTGGCTGCAGGAGGCCCTCCATTTTCTGTTTAAAGTTATACTTCAGTTATCGCTGATCCTCGGGCAGAGCGGAAGTCACCTCGATGAAGTAACAGCCTAAGTGCCAAATGTTGAATTCTTTTTCCCACTTCAGCTGTATATTTATTTCTCCTCAGATGCACATGCACATGGCATTTTCTCACTTATATACTCCACAGATAAAGCTGGTGAGCGATGCAGATACTTGTAAGGTTGTATGAATCCAGGTATTAAACGTATGTCTGTTTTTTTCTGTCCAAAAACACCGGGGGTTTCTCTGAAACCACTTTATTTCATCGGTCTTTCCAAAAGAAAAGAATTTGCTTTCTAAGTAGGTGATTCGTTTTTTTGTGTTTTTATTTTTGTTTTTTTCCCCCATTGCTGATGTGCTTGCGAAACACATTTTTGTAACCAGTGTGTGTAATATCCACTCACCTTCTCCACTAATATGAGATTCATTCTTACTCTGCTTGATAACTGATAGCAAGTAACAATAACAGAAATATTAGATGAACAAGTCATGAGTAACAAACGTTTTAGTTTTTTAGATCACCACAAATAACAGTGTGAAGCAAGTCTTGCCTCTCAGCAGCCATCTTTGAACATTTATTTTGAAGACTCTATGTAAATGTATCTGGAAAAACCCTCGTCCTTAACTTCTATGTTCATATGGCCATAAAAAGCCATGTGAACAGATTTTTGATGAAGATCTGACTGGAAAAACGTTAGTTAACTTTGTTCTGTTATCTGCTTCTGACTGCTGACACGATCAGCGTGTCTGCTGCTGTTGCTGCTCGTTCAGATTATGAATACAGCAAAAGAAAAGATTTTTAACAAGGTATCTTACCCACACCTTATACGCCTGTGGGGGCGTGCACCTTTACCATGTTCATGGGTCAGTGCTTACGAGATGATTGGCTAAGTCTGGCTCTTTGGGGGCAGACGCAGCACTGCTGCCATCTTTAGCATTTCAAAATTAGCCCATAGATTTGTGGCCAGTGTTATATAACGTTTCTAGTTTGAATTAAGTTTTCTTACTTCCTCAAAGTTCCACTTTTCACTTTCTATTAGCAACCAAGCTTCAGAGGCAAAGATATATTTAAAAAAAAAATTAAAAAATCTTGGCACATACAACCAAAATCTTGGCACATACAACCAGAAGTATCTGCTCGGCCAGAAACACTTGGAAGTAAATGAGAAAATTTGTGCTTTTGGTCGTTTGAGTTTAACTCCATCATATCGGATTCTGTGAGGTGCGCTCACAGTGTCTGCCACAGCACAGTGCAACAAAAGGGGTAACTTTGTGCATGCTGTGTGTTGAAACATTTATCAGACAGCTTACTGAGAAGTGAATTTAATGGCTATCTCGCATTGCTTTATTTTTAGCGCCCCATTCTGCCTGTCGATTGTGGCGCAAATGAAAATACTATATTGCTATATGGACAAATATATCTTTGACACATTATAGAATTGTGTATTTTGAAGTATCTGCTACAAGCTCAGCAACATGCTGATCTGCTGCTAGACGAAGCACTGAGGCCAATGAGAGAGGGGCTTGGCAGCTACATGACTACAGTCTCTGATGGTTGGTCGAAGGCAGGCCTACAGAGCATCATAGCGACCCAGGATCCAGTAATCCACACTCACAGTCCCTCCAACTCTGCTGCAGGAATGCTAAAACTGTACAGATTTTATCACGCGGATGTAAGCAAACATTTTTGTTGATACTGGGCTGAGTTGTATAGTCTTTTGTACAAAGGGATTTCATGACCGTTTTTAGACTTGTATTAATTTTACTCACTGGAAAAGAACAATGTTTTTGGGTTTTTTTGTTTTTTGTTTTGTTTTTGCTGGATTATTTTAACCACTGTGTTCCCAAGCCTTGTAAATGATAGGGAAGATGCCAGTTATTTAATAGTGCTCTTTTATCTTATGAAATACTGGTCACGTATAGCTGTTGTAAAGTTAACAAAAAGAGATATTTATGATTTTCGTTTTCGTTGTCACTTGATGTGTAAATATGAAAAGACTGTATATGTATGGCAGTACTAACAAGCTGTGTTGTGTGATATAGTGAATTATCCCTTTGCTATCTTTTAATATAAAATTGCATTTGCATTTCAATGAAACCTTCGTCTCACTCGTCTGTGCGCTCGTTGCTTTTAGACAAACGTGTTTCCTCGTCTGACATGTAGCAATGAAAAGGGATGCTAAAATCTTCAGGTGCTAATTCAGATATTGTTGTTACAATAGGAGGGGAGATTTAATCATGTGGTTTGGGGGGATCTTGTCAAAACAGATTTGTGAGGAGAAGTTGGGTCAGAATTTGATCTGCCATGAGTCTGATTGGCAGCAGCTTCACATTTCAGTATGACAATGATTCCAAACACACTGCCAATGCAGTAAAAGCATAATTGATAATACATACAGTGGACTGGTAAATAGTGTTTTTTCTAATCTAATTGAGCACAAATGCTTTCAAAGCATGCAGGATCATGTTGACAGAGAGTGGAACAAGGTACAGCCAACATATAACGAAAAGGTTTTAAAGTCCTTCAAGAAGCCAGGCGATCCTAAAGAAATGAGAAGTAAGCTTGCCTAAGAGTTCAGGCTGTGATGAAGCAAAGGTGGACATACTGGCTTTCAAACTCGTTAGAATTGTTTCACCTCTGGTTTCCCTATGGAAACCCTATGTTCAAACCCAGGACTTTCTCACGGTGAGGCAACAGTTCTAACTGTTATTTATATAATTTATTGGACATTTTTGTAACAAAATATAAATAAATAGCAGTCATCTTATACAACACCATCATCCTTTCAAGCCTATAATTTTATCAGGAATCAGTATGGTGGATAGATCTTCACCCATTCTTGAGCTTTCATTACATTAGTATTCAGTATAAAAGATGCAGGATGTATAAATGTTACAAATTATAACCAATGTGCAGTATCACTGAGGATCAATGGCGTTTTTGCACTTGTTTTGCAGAGGAGCATGCAGCAAACTCATATGTGTAACCATTCAGTAAACATTTATGTAGAAGACACACGCACAAAACTTTAGCGCCATTTAGTGCTCAGGTTTTTCTTGCACTGTTGTTCATCGACGTTGTCTGGGCTTCTTCTTCTTTTTAGTTTAATAGCGGTTGGTAAACCAGCTTAGTGGTGCATTACCGCCACCTGCTGCACTGGAGTGTGGCTCCTCCAATAAATGCCCACACCTTTTCCGGCTTTTAGGCCAATCAGCGACGCGCCCTGCGTGAACACGGGGTTTGAAATATGCAGAGACTCGGCTAAGCTAGACGAGAAAGAGAGTTCATCTGATTTTGTAAGTTTTACTCGGGTGTTTTTGTGACATTTTTTGTAGTTTGATGGGAGGCACAGTGATAAATTACTTTTTTTTTTATTTGAAATGTTTCACTTGTGACAGTCACTTAGGTTTTAACCGAATGCTAGACGCTAACGTTGCTAAACAGCTAGTGGTAAAGCTAACTCTGCTTAAAAGAATTAGATTTATTTAACCTTACGTTAACCAGCGTTACTGTTTGTAACATAATCCACCACCCGGGCTTGAATCCAAGTTAACTTGCATTTTGAACCTTTTCCATTCTCTATCATCTAAATGATTGACCATTTTTTGTGCCTGCTAAACTCAAGGTTCTGCACTACTTCCTGTCACACACACAAGACCCATGTCAGCGGCTATGGCGAATGATACCAGTTTTGGCTGGCTTCGGCAAGCGCGTACGCTAAATTGGATACGATACAGAGAAGATTAGCATGGCCCCTGCGCAAGGATGACACGCGAATAATACCGCGTGGATGACGACGTGGAATATGGACACAAATCCCAGTAAGATGACTGTGCCGATTATCTAGTGGTTGGGTTGCTGGGTCCCCAGTTCGATTGTGTGCTGCACAAAACAAACACTGCATGTTAAAGTGGAAGCGGTGCTGGGTGTGGGAGTGATGAGTTGCACTAATCAGCTGGGGTGTCGAGTTGACTGCTTCAGTCTGATCCAACCTGAGGACACGCAATGTGCACAGGGGCCATCTGACCCAACCCTGCTCCTCTATACACATGTGTTGTATGCTTCTTTCAAGTTAAAACGCACACACACATAGAAACAACTGGCCACATAGCAAAAAGCTTACAGCTCTCTGCAGGTTGTCCCAGGCATCCTGGAGCACTTATTGCCATTGTGTGAATTCTGTCTCTTCATGTAATGACTCGTTTTGAGGTCAGACCTCAGTCCTGCTTTAATAATTCCACATTTGACTGTCTGTGTTTATTTTCCCATGTGCTGGATAATGAAATCTATGGGTTTTGTATGGAGCCACAGTCATGCAGCATTTGGCATGCACTGTAAACCCTGACAGAAGACTGTAGGGCTAGGTGATGAGACTTCATGCAGTACTACATTAAATATACTCTTTAATTTACAAATGTCATTGTTTATTAGCAGGTGTGATCACCCTAGAAAGCATTATGTAAACTTGATATCTATTTTACATAATGCTGATGATGCCATACTCTAAAAAAGTCACATTTTCAGAACAAAATCATGGTTTAATAAAGTCCGTATTAATGTCACCTGTCATATTAACTCAATTTTTTTAAATTTTTTTTATTTATTTATTTTTTTGGACAAGGCAACAGATGCTGTGGTGTAGATGTCATGGAAGGTCCTCTTCCCCCTCTCCAAGGCAGAACTTCGAGCTCCATGACCTGATGACACGAGCTCCTTCATTCTTTAAGGTCTGTGTCTGAATGTCATCTGTTTGCTGAGCTATTGGAATGATTTTCTCTTGTTTCCAAAGGGCATGCTGTCATTTTAGTCAACTGCGTAGTTTCTTTAAATCAGTCATGTTTTATGAGAAACATGGCATCTGGTATAACATTTTAAAAAAGTATTAGCCCTGTACTCTGATTGGTTTGTCATAGATTATGTTTACCTGTTTGTTTTTTTTTTGGCTTTATTTGCTTTTACAAATTTCTTTCATCATACGTGTCCTATGGTCAGCTGAGCTTTTTTAGTGATGCCAGTTAATACAGCTGTTCACCATGAAATGAACCAGGTAAACTCACTTTTTATTTTTTCTCACGTGGGGTTGTGACAGTGATGAGTTGCACTATTAGTCAGGCTGGTGATTGCAGTGGCACAGCCAGCCTGTCCTGACAAGCTGTGGTGACACCTCAAGGTGCACAGGGGCCATCTGAGTCATTTCCCCACCTGACAGGAAAAAAAATAGTGGCTGGCTCCTTAAGGTGTTTTCTCACTTGATTTTCTTTCTCCTTTTTTGTTTTGTTTGTTTGTTTCCTTATTTTCCCAGTCTTAAAATTGGACAGCTTATGCTTACATGGGATGACCCAAATATATTCTGCCAGCAAAAGTAGGTGGAGGAAGAAGGACCCCAAAACTGGTGAGCACAAACGGCATAAATCATACATCTTTTATAGATGTGAAATTTACAGTCGATTATCATATTTTAAAAACGTGCATGTGTTGTTATTTAACAAATGTAATCAAAAAGACAAATGGTGATTCAGTCTTGCTGCAATAAAAGTGTGTACAGTTGTGGTCACACATTTACAGAATGGGGTTGTTTTTGGCCATTTTTCAGAGAATATGAGCACCGTCACCCCTTTAAGTTTCTCTTCATATGAGCACCTATTGGAAGAAAGCTGTCCTGATTCCTGCCATAATGTCATCATGTGTTGTGTTATATGTAGTGCCGACGTAGGACAGTTTTCCAATCTCATTGTACTATGTTTGACTGTGCAATGACAATAAAGCGTTATCTTATCATTGGTTCTACTATTAAAGTTTTCTGTCCTTTCTCCTTTCCTCGTCTCTGCAGGCAGCTTAATATCAGAACACTGTCAGCCCTACAGCAGCAGACACTGCAGTCACTGGTACAGCTCTTTGTGGACCTTCACTAGTTGTGCACATCACCAGTCACTGAGCTGCTGCAGAATGACTTACATTGACCCGATGTTATCCAATGCTGGAAAACAATTTCCAGTAGTGAATTCTCGAAGGATCCAAACCTCTTCCTTCTTATTTGATGATTGAAACATCAGCTTGCAACCTCGTGCACAGGTGAAATATTATTATCATTATTATTATTATTATTATTATTATTATTATTATTATTATTATTATCATCATCATCATCATTTTTTTTTAAAAATGTATCTCATGACTGATGAACAGGAAAACTTAAGTAGTTCTCTACTTGTTGTCTTGCTATTGTCTCATCTGTTAGGCTTTGCCAATACGTTGCTCTACAGAGGCCAGTTTTTACTTACTAAAGTGTTTTTCTTTCTGTTAGCGAGGAATCGGACAAGATTTTGCATCAGAAGAAATATCCAAAGTGGTGGGGAGCATCATGACCAGCCTTGGAAGATCTGTGTTATTGGCTTAAATTGAACATTTTCCTTCACTCTTACCACAGCAGCAACCATCCAGGCAAATACTGTAATAAAATGGCACAAACTTGTATCATATTTCTCGCAGTTCTGATTTTGGGGTCATAACATCCAGCTCTCAAATAGCTGAATTAAAGCAGCAGAGGGTTCATTAATCACTTTTGCTGAAAGTGTTTTGCAGAAGTGACAGCAACTGGACTCCTAAGAACGATTACAGTTTCAGTGAATGCCTTGCATCATCAGAGGCTTCAGCTCATTTTAAATATCTGCTTGTTCTATTGTTTTGTCATCGAGCAGGGTTAGAAGCTTGTTTGCCTGGCACTATGATGTGTATGTATTATTGTAGGGTCTACCTTACAATATAAAGTGGCTTGAGGTGACTGTTGTGATTTGGTGCCAGATAAATAACTTTGAATTGAATTAATCTGTATTCAGATATTTATGTACCCAGAAAATGGAGAAAGTAACTGTATAGTTGTAACATTGAAGATTCTCTGCAACATCTGTGCAGGAAGCAAACTTGAGATGGTTGGTGTTAAACGCAACAATATCCTGCTGTTCACCCGGTTAGCTGTAACTATACTGATAATGAAATCACTGGTGTATTTTTACACCTTTAGATACTGATTTACACTGGCTCTGCAGGTTTGGTGTATCTGTAGAGTATCAGTGGTTTACACATGGATTTCTTTTGAATAAACCATAATTGCTAACAGACATATGTAATGTAGGTATTTGGCACCAGTACAGATCATCTTACTGTGATATCAACCAGATATGAATAGATTATAGAGAACTGGCTTCTTTATTTACACGGAATTGAAAGGGGGGGTAAAGATGGGACCACATTCAGGTTGGCTCAATCTTCACTTTAAGAAAAAGGGGGGAAAAAATGAATATAAATATATAAAAAAAAGATGTGCTCCTGGTATTAAATTACAAATGTGTACATCCTCTCAGTATCACATTCCTATCTGTTGTTTTTGTTTGGTTTTCAGTCAATACAGAAATATGAAATGACAACATGACCTAAATAAACTAAATTCAGACATGTGACAAGTTGCTGTTCTCCATGGTTTCCCATCTCTGCTGTATAGTAGAATTTTAACCACCAGGTGGCAGTTGAATATCAGTGATCACCTCCAGTCTGTTGCCTATAATGAGGTAACACATTTTACTGGACTAATTAGTGCCTCAAAACTGCACACACTGATAACTCCTGCGGCATCGTTTTTCATCCGTATCCTGTGGTGCACACGCCATGTAGGATTCTGTGGAAATGAACTTCACAATCGCTCTCGCACAAACGTGTTTTAACATTGTTTTAATGTAAATGTGTAAGACTGCCATTACCTCAACTGTATTGCTACACTTTAAACACTTCTAGCTTTTAAAGTAAAAAGTTTAACAATTTAAAGTGCAAAACAGATGAATTCAAATGTTTTGGGGGATACATATGTAATCAAATATATTTTGAACATACTGACCTGGTATTTGCTCAGTTTGAACACGAATGATTTTAAGTGTTTGGATGTCGCACTACATGTCATCCATTCATTTTTTTAAAAATAAATAAATAAATATTGTAACTTTGAAGCTATTGAAATGATTGGCTCAACCTTCCACTATGCTACAGTCACATTAAGAAAAACAGTGGTCAGGATTACTGAAAAAGAAAATGTATCAATTTGTGATTGAATGGGTTTAAACTGGCAGTTACATGGAATTTAATAAATCTGTTGCTGTCTGCATACACAGAATTTCACATCGGCTACTTACAAATTCCCACCACTCAAATTCCTCTTTGTGACATGGTTGCTGAAGGGCAGTGATTTAACTGCAATATTACACAGGTACTCTGCAACTTGTTTTCAGAATACAACCAGCTGGCATCCTCTATTCTATTCTACTCCTCTATTGCAAAGAGATTGCCGATTGATTGATTGCAAAATCTGTATCCATAAATTAGATGGCAATTATTTGTAAACCTTCACCAATCGGAGAGTGACTGAGTCAGCCCAAGTCAGGCTGTGATTGTTTGGAAGCAGATTGCCTCCGACACGGTGATCTGTGTAATTGTCATGTATTTAAATGTGCAAGCATGGAATTCCTTGTAACTGGTCATTAATTCCAATCATTGGAATCTCCTTGCAGCCACCTCCTTCCTAGTTGCAAGGAAGTTGTCTTATATTTGCTGTAGTGTGACTGAGCCATTAGTTATGATGCCTTGAGGCCCAGGCTGCTGAGAGATCTCCTTTGATGTACTGAGCTCTTCTCCTTCACACCCGTCTTTTTCATTCCTGCTCACTCTTCATCCCTCTCTTCTTCCTCATCTACTAAGTGGATGTGGTAAATGGCTGCTATCCCTGACCCTGGCTCTGCAAGAAGTTTCTTCCTGTTAAAGTGACCATTAAACTCCCCACTTTCACCTCATATAGGCTCATTGAATGGCTTGGGTCTGTAGAGTACAATATATAAAGTACCTTTAGATGACTATTCAGGGGAATCAGCAGTACATAAACTGAATAAGATTAAACTGGATTTTTATCATTTTAAGCAAATCAGACTAACGGGTCAGTTTATAACCCTTCTATGCCACCCACTGAGAAATCTCAAAGGACAGATATTTAGGTTGCTTTAGCCTGACAGTTGCTTTGCAAACAACGTCCACCCCAGCACCTTTCCATGCTATGCATGACTTGATTGATATCATGAATGTTGTCAAGGTCTGTTTTGTATGAGGTACGGAATTTTTACTACTCTCACTGCCAGTGAGTTTCTGTGCATGAACAGGGAGCTCTCAGAACAGAGCTGGCAAATATAAACCACTGCAGCTGAGGAACAGACAATCTGTGTTCTTACTGACAGATTTATTGTTGAGATTCACATTGCCTGTTTCACTGCATATGTATATTTAAAAATCAAAAAAAAGAATCAGTGCTTTCACACATTCCCACGGGGGTTTAAAATATAATTTTTTCCTCCTGCTATCTTGCATCACCTTTCCCTGTGACTCAGAGCGGTGATTGACAGCAGCGAGGGGAGCGATCATAGATGGCTGAATGACTAGTCTGTGGTACCAGAGGCAGGGCTTCTTTTGCTTTTAACTGTACCCACAGGGGAGTTGAGGAACATCCAGCTTCTCACAGATGTTTCCAGAGTTTTGGTTAGAGGGAGAAGTCCAAGACTTCAGAGGGAGAGGGGTACAACTCTTAAGAGATAAACAGGTTTGTGTAGCCTGAGGAGGCCATCCTGTGAGTGCGGAGGTCCGGAGGGAACTAACTCTGTCACAGTCCTCAGAGGACATTTTTACAGGATGCTTTGTAGATGTGAGATAAAAGGAAGGGATTATATTGTAAGTTGAAATCATTTTTTGCTAATGATGCCATAATCTTTTGTTCAGGCACTGATAATCTCAGATCCCAGGCTTCAGTGTGCACATAAATATGTACACATTGTTGTCACATGCTACACCAACACATGTTTATTAGTAGGAGGTAGTTTTTCCTTCCCCCTCACTGAGTCACGGTGCACTCATACTCCTTGATAATGAAAAGCCAATTAACATTTCTTGTCTGAAGTGGTTGAATGCACGAAAATGTTTGTTTAGTGCCTTAAAAGATCGTACCAATGCAGGAAGAACATTTTGTGTAATGGCTGCATTGCAGATTTTCTCATTTTTCTCATTTAAACATTTTTGGCTCATGTAGACAGCACCATAGCAACAGCAGGTTGTTAACTACCAGCCAAAAGAGACGTTTAACCCCAATGCTAACATGCTAACTGAAAAATCTTGCTTTATGAGACAGAGCTCAGGTTTTGATGTCTGAACAGGAACTATGTACAACAGGCAAACATTTACCTGAATCACAGGAGAAACTACAATAAAGCTAGCATATTCACAATTTTTCACACTGCAGTCAAAAACAAAAGAAAAACTGCCACATCATCGTGGGCGTGATTTAAAATGCTCATATTGAAATGTTTCCCTGAAAAAGTCCACCACATGCCAAGAGTTCATTGAAGTGTACGGCACAAAAGGCAGACTGAAGAAGACAAAAAACAAGCTGCTGTTACTGCAAAGCTCAACGAAATCTGAAGCTTTCTGATTTAATTAAGTTCATTTGTAGCGTTCCTCAACCGCAGACACTCAAACTGAACGTTGATATTTTTGTACATATACTTAATAGCATAATTATAAGAACACATATTTGTCTGTTAAATTTAAGGGTAAAGCTTTTCACAGTGATTTCAATCAGGGTCACCACAGTGGGTAGCTTTGCATATTCAGTTTGGCAGATTTTTATCCTCACATGCCGTTATGATGGGATTTGTGTCTGCATCTTTGGAAACTACACTATAGAGTCACCTGCAAATATTACTTGATTTGAATTTGAATAATTCTGGTAACATTCAAATAAAAAAAAATAATCCAGTGGTTTAAGGATAAATTACTATTGTGAAATAAAAGAAGTCAGTGTGCATCTTATTGCAGTTCTTCATCTAATGCTAACCTCAAATTTATCAATGCCCTCTCCATGAAGAAGAAATTAAACAATGTATTTGTTCTTGTCTCATTTTAACTGAGTGTGTGCATCTTCATTTTCAGTAATGCTACCTTCTCTCCACTGTTTCACCTTGAGTATCAATTATAAAGAGGGCCTTAAAGAACACCTCCAAAATGATGCCAGCAGCTTGCAACAGGAGCAACAGTTTCAATATGTGAAACTAAACCAAAGCATAAAGCCAAGACAAAGCTGCAGTGGCTTCAGGATAAGTCTGACTGTGTCTTTGAGTGGGACCCATGTAACCTCTGGGGAGAGACCTGAATACAGTGGGGCAAAAAAGTATTTAGTCAGCCACCGATTGTGCAAGTTCCCCCACTTAAAATGATGACAGAGGTCAGTAAATTGCACCAGAGGTACACTTCAACTGTGAGAGACAGAATGTGAAAAAAAAATCCATGAATCCACATGGTAGGATTTGTAAAGATTTTATTCATAAATCAGGGTGGAAAATAAGTATTTGGTCAATAACAGAAATACAACTCAATACTTTGTAACATAACCTTTGTTGGCAATAACAGAGGTCAAACGTTTACTATAGGTCTTTACCAGGTTTGCACACACAGTAGCTGGTATTTTGGCCCATTCCTCCATGCAGATCTTCTCGAGAGCAGTGATGTTTTGGGGCTATCGCCGAGCAACACGGACTTTCAACTCCCGCCACAGATTTTCTATGGGGTTGAGGTCTGGAGACTGGCTAGGCCACTCCAGGACTTTCAAATGCTTCTTACGGAGCCACTCCTTTGTTGCCCGGGCGGTGTGTTTTGGATCATTGTCATGTTGGAAGACCCAGCCTCGTTTCATCTTCAAAGTTCTCACTGATGGAAGGAGGTTTTGGCTCAAAATCTCACGATACATGGCCCCATTCATTCTGTCCTTAACACGGATCAGTCGTCCTGTCCCCTTGGCAGAAAAACAGCCCCATAGCATGATGTTTCCACCCCCATGCTTCACAGTAGGTATGGTGTTCTTGGGATGCAACTCAGTATTCTTCTTCCTCCAAACACGACGAGTTGAGTTTACACCAAAAAGTTCTACTTTGGTTTCATCTGACCACATGACATTCTCCCAATCCTCTGCTGTATCATCCATGTGCTCTCTGGCAAACTTCAGACAGGCCTGGACATGCACTGGCTTCAGCAGCGGAACACGTCTGGCACTGCGGGATTTGATTCCCTGCCGTTGTAGTGTGTTACTGATGGTGACCTTTGTTACTTTGGTCCCAGCTCTCTGCAGGTCATTCACCAGGTCCCCCCGTGTGGTTCTGGGATCTTTGCTCACCGTTCTCATGATCATTTTGACCCCACGGGATGAGATCTTGCGTGGAGCCCCAGATCGAGGGAGATTATCAGTGGTCTTGTATGTCTTCCATTTTCTGATGATTGCTCCCACAGTTGATTTTTTCACACCAAGCTGCTTGCCTATTGTAGATTCACTCTTCCCAGTCTGGTGCAGGTCTACAATACTTTTCCTGGTGTCCTTCGAAAGCTC